ACCATATCCACCCAAACAACACTATAAATACCCTTTCGTTTATTCTGCATCTTCAATCTTCAGCGAGACCTTCAACGAGCGGAGAGATAACACAGGTAACTTTAATTTTTGCCCATATATATATATATATATATATATATATATATATATATATATATATATATGTATGTATTTAATTTTTGCAGCTTCCATCTACAATGGAAATTCGAGAAACCAAACAAAGAGGATTGATAGCACTTGATGGGACTCCCTGGGAATTAACTATCCCGTTGCTTTCTCGCCAGTGTTGGACTCGCCATTGTCACAAACATTTGGACCGGAGCTTCCCGCGAATTGATTTCCCGGTTGTTTTCACCATTGTTTGGATCTTCTCTTGTCAGCGGATAGTGCCTTCATCGTACTTGGCGATGAAGGGAACGGAATCATGCTAGCGATCTAATATCGCATCGGACATTTGCTATGTCTCTTCTTGAGCTCCCCATCAGCGGACCGGAACCTTTTGGAAATTGATTTTTCCGGAATGACCTCCACCACTGTTTGGGTTCACGCCGCCAGCCACCGGCCACCGTCATTGGGGACGAAAAACTGCTGGCACGTCACCGGACACATGCTCCGGCGTGTTGTCGCTGTTGCCACCGCATCGGAGAAGGCCACTGCTGGGATGTCGCCTCAGGACGTTGCTCCGGCACGCTGCCGTAGCCGCCGTAAGGTCGCCGCCGCTCATCTATACTTCTTTGTTCCCGTTGCGATGTCGACGAAGAAACACCTGGAAATCGACTTTCCAGCTTGTTTTCTACCTTTGCCCTGACTCACGCGTTCAGCTACCATCACCGGAGTAGAAAGCAACCAGGATGTCGCCGAGCACCTGCCCCGGCAGGTTGCTGTTGCTGCATTCGTCCATGAAATAGAGGTCGCCAGTGAGCCATGTCGCTAGAGGAGACCGCTACAGAGGTCGCCGGTGACACTGTCAACAGGAGCTCCAAAATAGCAAGAGAAATTTCTTTGCTGTTTAACCACGACTGAATGGAACTGATTAGATATGTTGGATATCAACCACCAAGAGCCTAACTTTGGTTACTGAGCTTCCACGCGTCCCTTTGCATGTTCACTGATGTAATGCACTGGCTTGCGTTGCATTGCTCGAATTACATATATGCAATATAAACACACGGTCCACTAGCATGCATGTAGTGTGGCTATATTACCTATATATAATACATTTATATAAGGTAGTTTTGGGTAGTATGCAATTGTGTATGAACATACACGTATATGTAACATGGGAGGCTCTTGCTTTTTTTTTTTTTTTTTTGCTTTTTTTTTTTTCACCCTACTGCCAGAATGGGTTTATATATAATACATAGTAACATGGTCCACTATTCATATATAAGCCGTATATTATATATGTATGTTTTATAGTGTGGGTATGTATATGTCGTGTGGGCCACTGGTATGTGAGGGTATATAATATATAACCCATGCTTCCATTATATAAGTTGTGGGTGTATAATTGCCTTACCATATAATATACGTACACACGCATGTAATATGTAATATATGTACGTGGTAAGTGTATACGTATAATATATATTATATGGGTTGCCTCGTGCACATATCATCACGTGAAAAATTTCCTTGAACAGTTTCATGGCGATTTTAGACTTAGAACTTTTCCTTGCTTTACAAATTGTTATTACTTATGGACTTGGCCTCTTGATTTTCATGCAGATTCATACATCGCAAAACATCTTTGAACAATGGTAGTGTTTTGGGAAACCGTGGGAGCCGATCAGAAGAGGAGGCTCAAAGTATCAAGCGACGAGACTGGAAAAGATAGCATGTCGTTCATCGTTTACCCACCAATGGCGTCGAGAACTCGTCTTTCCCAGATACCGCCATATAAAGTGGAAAATTGGACCCATGACACTGACACCCAGCCATCGAAAACATGGGTTCTGAAGACCGGCTTAAGTCATGTGGACTACACAGACACACTCCCGACTTTAGGGAGATGGATACTTGAAGGTGAGGCTTCATGGAATCAGCACCCCAGCTTTAAAGGTGAATTTAGCTTCACAAAGGGGTATTGGGAGTGGACTGAGGCTATACTCAGTCGGCATCGCAAACTTCTAGAGGATGTGATGATCTACGACGGCATATATGCCTCCTTATTCACATATGACCGCTCGACGCCTATCGTCCAAGCATTCTGCGAAGCGTGGTGCCCCATGACAAATACCTTGCTTACATCCCTCGATGAGCTTTCAATCTCACTTTGGGATATGCATGTACTTTGCGGTCTACCGATATCTGGCGACATCTACGATGAGTATGTTCCAACTGCCTCGCAATTAACAGGGGAAGACATCGACTCCGCCCCTCAATGTTGTAAGTATTTGTTCCAAGCATACTGTCACCTTGGTAACCGAATTAGGCAACGAGGTGGTCGCCGTGGGCAACAGGAGAAAAGTCGTTCAGTTCACGTTGTTGAGTGGATAGAATTCTGGAGCAGAAGACCGCAAGTTTATGACAGGCCACCGCCTAGGAAGGAGGATAAGAAGAAGACTCGCCCGAGGAACACCCATAATCCAAGTGGCAAGATCCCAGCATTCGGGGGTTGGACCAAAACGACCAAAGCGCCTTTTGCTGAGCTTGGAATTCCCTCCGAATACGAGGAGGAGACCCATTTGGCGGCATACCTAAGTTGTTGGCTGTGCGTATTCGTGTTCTCCATCAAAGCAACGCGATTCATTCGAGCCCAAACATTCAAAATGGCTAGTCTAATGGCGACGGGCAAAACACTGAACCTTGGGATCCCCGTACTTGCGAGCATTTACAATGGATTGAATGTAATATCGCACTCTAGTACGACGGGGTCAGTTGATAGTCACTTTCCCATTCATTATGTGTATGGATGGCTGTCGTTCTACTTCGACACTCATTTCGCAAATGATCAGACGTCCGCTTCCCCGCTGATGATTGCCTACTCTGGAGAGGGTGGCGCGAGGTATTATGGACCAGTAGAGGCTCGTCGTAAGATGTTCAAAGCCGACAGCGCCAATTGGCTCTGCACGACGCGCCGCCTAACTAAGGATCTCCACTTCCTCGATAATGGGGACGCACACTCTACCGACCACGAGTACCTCATGTGTCTTCGTTCTAACCACCTCATATTGCGATGGGCGGATGCATGTATCGCAGAGCCTTACACTCCTCATCGATTCAGCCGACAGTTCAGCTACTACCAAGACGACAGCTCTGGCATACTGGGCAATGATGAACGTGAGGTCACGCTTTCGGAGGGTTTCCAACGTTGGCGCCACTCTACACTTAGGGGTTCAGGGTCGCGAGTGACATTTCCCGCGACTCGAGTTACTGTCACCATGAAGAAGTATTTCTCGTCGGGCTATAAAGATTGGTGGGCCCAAGTCCATGGGGACTACCTCGAGCGCAATATCAAGGGTTTAGCTCCTGAGGATCCAGCCAACGTGCAGCAGGAGGCTGGCACCGCCAAGAAGGGCAAACACCCAGTCCAGGGAGATGAACTACCACCCAAGAAGAGAAAGGAGCATATCATCTCGAAAAACAGGGCCGATGTGGTATGGTCGGACTCGGGTGATGAGGAAAGCCATGACCGTCACTGGAAACGGCGACGAGACAGATGTTCGCCTTCCCCAGTGGAGGTAAATCACTGTTCTTGCTTATCCCAATGATTGCTGGTAGCACTTAATTTACCCTCTTTTACTTCTTGACAGGAAAATGTGGCGATACCTGCTAGTGGAGGGGCTGAGTCATTAAATAAAAGGGTGGCAGCCAGCAATACTGGAGAAAGTGGACATTCAAACAATGCCTCAGCATCAAACACGCACCAGTTGGGGAATTCCCTCGACGAGCCACGCGTAGGTCAGCAAGATAGACCAGAGGTCTCTGTCTTTGATGGAAAAGACCTCGTACTGGAAGAATTTAAGGTGGTTGTCATAAATGTCTGGAACAAGCTTCGCAAAAAGTTGGACGACACCTCGGTAGAACACGTTTCATCTTTGCAAGAGAGCTTTTTGAACGCTTTTGCAAATCTACGGAAGTTAGACATTGATATCTCTCCCTTGGAAACACGGGTTGCAGACATTTTCACGAAAGCTCAAGCCTTTGATAAGTTAAGGTCCACAATTTCTGACAAAACATCGAGCGAGTCTCAGTCTTTATCCCTGGCGGAGGATGCGCTTAAGAATGCACAAGACGAGTTTAGGAAACTCAAGAAAGATCTATTGGGCCAACATAAGATGCTTAAGGCCACAAAAGATCGGGAAGAGGAATTGGAGAAAGAACTGAAGTTAGTTCGTGCTAAGGCAGAGGAATGCGATACTGCGATTGCCAAAATTACAGATGACCTGGGCAATGCTAAGACTGCCGTTTCGGAGGCTGGGGCAGAGGTCACCCGCATTAAGGACCTGACTGTACTGACGCCAGAAGATGAAATGAGCTTAAAGGAGGCAAAGAGAGGCTTAGAAGCGTGCAAAGACGATATGCTTAGCTTTAGGCTTTTTTATTGACTGATACTCTTTGTCATTTAGTTTCTCTTTTGATTGCAAGAACTTTTGTTGTTTCGTTTCTAACTTTTGATAATTGAATGCTTCTCATTTATGTGCCGGTCCTTTAGCGATAATTCATACAACTTTTCTTTCACCCGTTGAAGGATTGTCTAGATAACCCACTCTTGCAACATGAATTGGATTTGATTTTGTTATGACTGAACTTAGATAATTTGATTCTAAGCTGCCTACGTACTCCTATCAAGGAGATCAAGTCAAACGTAGTTCAAATGATTTTTTTTTTTTTACAAAGTAGAGCCGTTCACAGTTTAGACTCATGCGGTCCAGGAGCGTCTATGATTTGGGCCCACCCATAGACAAAGCGAGATGCATTAGCAGTTTATCCACATGCTGCATTTTTGGTGGATCAGTCATTCATCACATCTTCATGACTTGTGTTGACACCCAAGTTTAAGGGTGGTAAAGCTTTAGGAACCTTCCATTAATCGGACCGATCTTCAAACCATCTTCACTAATTAGCTTATAAGCCCCGCCTGTGTAAACTTCCAAAATCACGTAGGGACCATCCCACCTTGAAGTGAACTTGTGGCCAGTTTTTCTCGTGACAATGATGGGCCTGCGAACAGCTAGGACTTTGTCCCCAATTTGAAAGGAACGGGTCCTAACCCTTTTGTTAAAAGCTCTAGACATGCGAGCTTGATAGCATTCCAAGCTTTGTTGCGCTTGCAGACGTTTTTCGTCCAAGGCTTCCAACTCAGCCAAGCGTAACTTAGCATTTTCTTCGTCAGTAAGCCCCTCTTGTATAGCCAACCTTAAGGAAGGTATTTGGCGCTCTAGAGGCAAGACCGCTTCCACACCATACACCAAAGAATATGGAGTGCTTTGAGTAGGTGTGCGGTATGTGGTTCTATACGCCCACAAAGCTTCTTCCATTCTGATATGCCAGTCTCTTTTCGATTTTGAGACCACTTTCTTCAACAAATTGCATAGGGTCTTGTTAAAAGCTTTAGCAAGCCCATTTGCAGCTGCATAGTAAGCTGACGAGTTTCGCTGCTTAAAGTCAAAAAGCTTGCAGATCTTGTCCATCAACTTGTTGTCAAATGGCTTCCCATTATCTGTTAAGATATATCGCAGGATACCAAATCGATAGACGATGTGGACACGGAGAAAGTCTGCAACATTTTCTTTCTTCACCTCCTTCAATGCCACGGCTTCAGCCCATTTCGAAAAGTAATCGGTGGCAGCTAATATGTAGGCATGCCCTGCAGATGACTTAGGCGTAATTGGGCCAACCACATCAAGTCCCCAAGCATCAAATGGCCAAGATGCAACTGTTGGGTGCAGAGGTTCTGGTGGTTGATGGATAAAGTTTGCATGATATTGACAAGTTTGGCACCTTCGAGCATAGTCTATGCAATCATATACCATTGTAGGCCAATAATATCCCATTCGCTTAATGTGGAAATGCAACTTGGGACCGGATTGATGTGCACCGCAAACCCCAGAATGAGCTTCTTGCATAGCTTGTAAAGCTTCCTCTTCCCCTAGACATCGGAGAAATATTCCATCAAAGGAACGACGATACAATGTTTCTTTATAGTAGATGAAGCGAGGAGTTCGACGCTTTATATCCACCCTTTTACGGGGATCTTCAGGTAACTTTCCATCAGTGAGGTAGTCAATTAACGGTTGCCTCCAGTCGTCTTTGCCTATATCATACACTGAGGCAGTATGGAGTTCAACAGTTTCATCAACTGAGCCGTCTTCATTAAAGATTGGTGGAACCACCCACCTTTGACATACTTGTATTCGGGCTGCAGGATGAGCAATAGTTGAAGCCAATGCGGCTAAGGCGTCAGCTTGCTTGTTTTCTTTCCTCGGTACATGTTCAATTGTGATGTCCCCTAACCATTGCATGAGTATCTTTGCATAGTTGTTATATGGGACTAACTCCGCCTTTTTCACTTCATATAGACCCAACACTTGGTTTATGATCAACTTTGAATCTCCATAAATGTTAATTCTTAGTTGCTTCATGTCAGCCGCTATTTCGAGCCCAAGTATCAATGCTTGATATTCAGCAGCGTTGTTTGAACATTGCTCGGTCAAGGTGAATGAATATGGCAACACCTCGCCTTCTGGAGTGACGAAGACAACTCCAGCACCTGCCCCTTCTCTATGCGAAGCTCCATTAAAGTACATTTTCCATGGGGGTAGGACTTCAATGACAAACACATCTTCATCAGGCAAATCGTCAGACAACTCCCATTCAGCAAGTATTGGATGGTCTGCTAAGAAATCGGCTAAGGCTTGCCCCTTGACAGACTTCTGCGGCACATAGATGATTTCAAATTGTTGGAACAATAAGTACCGCCTTGCAAGGCGGTCAGAGAGCACGACCTTCGCCATAACATACTTCACCGGGTTCGCTTTGGAAACAAGCCGGATTGTATGAGCCCCGAAGTAGTGCTTAAGTTTTTTGATGGCGAACGCAAGTGCCAAACATAGCTTTTCAATTGGGGAGTACTTTAACTCGTTCGGGGTCATCATTCTACTAAGATAGTAGAGAGCATTCTCCTTCCCCTTGTCGTTTTCCTGAGCAAGCAAGGCGCCTACAGAACAATCCTGGGCGGAGATATAAAGGATCAGCGGGCGACCGTGAACAGGAGCAGTTAACACAGGCGGCTTCATCAAGTATGACTTGATACTCTCAAATGCGTTCTTGCATGCCTCATCCCATATGAATGGGATGCCCTTTTTCATCAATCGACTAAAAGGTTGACATCTTCCCGCTAGGTTTGATATGAACCTTCGGGTGTAAGCCAACTTCCCTTGTAAGCTTTTAAGCTCATGAAGGTTTCTCGGCTCAGGCATCTTCATTATGGCATCGATTTTTGCTTGCTCGATCTCGATGCCCCTGTGTCGAACAGTAAACCGGAGGAACTTTCCAGCAGCAACCCCAAAAGCGCATTTCAGGGGGTTCATTTTGAGTTGAAACTTCCGTAGGCGGTCGAAGACTTGCCTTAAATGCACCAAGTGATTTGTGCGCAATTTCGACTTCACAACTAGGTCGTCTACATAGCATTCAACCATTTTGTGCAGCATATCATCAAATATTGTCTGCATAGCCCGTTGGTATGTGGCACCTACATTTTTCAAACCAAAGGGCATTACTTTGTAACAGTAGATGCCTTTCGGCGTTCGGAATGCAGTTAAGTCTTCATCCTCCGGCGCCATGCGGATTTGATTGTAACCAGAGGAGCCATCCATGAATGACAGGATCTCATGCCCAGTCACAACATTTATCATTAACTCGGTGATAGGAAGCGGGAAGTCATCTTTCGGGCATGCCACATTGAGGTCCCGAAAATCTACGCAGACGCGGATCTAGCCGTTCTTCTTGCGCACGGGCACAATACTGGATATCCAGGTTGGATATTTAACTTCACGAATGAAGCCAGCCTCAATAAGCTTATTAACTTCTGTTTCAATCGAGGGAATGAGCTCGGGGCGGAAGCGTCGTTGCGCTTGCTTAACCGGGCGACACCCTTTCTTCACTGCTAAGCGGTGCACAGCTACCTTTGGGTCTAACCCTGGCATCTCCTTGTATGTCCATGCAAAGACATCAATATATTCTTTCAGCAATGTGACATAGATTTCTTCATCTTCGTCAGATAGGAGTGCGCTAATGAAGATAGGACGAGGATTTTCAGGCGTTCCCAGATCAACTTCTTTTAATTCGTCCACCGCGGCTCGTACCCCTTCTTCTAACTCATGGGGTGCATCTTCTGCATCTTCCCCCTCAATCGGGGTTTCATCACATAACGTGATATGGAACGAAGATGCCACCTCTTCCTGAGTAGTTGGTAGTACGTCATCACTTGAGCCTACGCTTTCCTCATTTTCCTCTTTATGTACTCGAGTGTGTACAATGGTCTTCGGTTGGACTTTCAATACTTCACCGCATGTAACATGAATATATGTTTCTCGTCTCATACGAGAAGGAATCATGCTTCTGAGCCTTTTTGGAGGTTCCACTTCAGCAGGAACATTAGCACTGTTTCTAATAACTTGGACAGCTCCAAGTCGATCATGCATCGACTTTCTCTTTAGGGCTTTAGGACTTGACCCCAGCCTATCAAAGACTGAACGTCGAGAGTCTGCCTTACCAATTCGGTCAAAGACTGACTTCTTTTTGTCTTGCCCATTACCATTGGTAGGAGTGAGTTTTGGGTCATACTCGCTTCCCTCCGCGGAGATACAATTACTTGCAGCCCTGTTTATAAGAATTCGCACTGGTTTAGGGGGAACATAGCCCAACCCTTTGCGCGTTTGAGGTTCTTGGTGATTTGCTTTGCCTTTACCACCGGCTTCTGGGATAAGCTTTCCCAACTTCTGTGGCTCGTTGGGGTTATAGCCAGCCTTGGCTAGAAGCTTATAAGCATTAGGGTCGAAACCCTCTGTACGCTTGGCGGGGAATATTTGGCCCACTTTACCACCATCTTTCTCTTCAGATGATTTTGCTGCATTTGCTTTGAGTGTATCGATCCTTGCAAGCGGGAAAATGAGTTTTGTGTTGTGTTGATCTCCCTCTACAACTTGTTTTCCTTTTGACTTTGACTGGGAAGGTGAATCGTCATTGCTTTCCTCAACATCTTCAACAATAACTTGCCTTTTAATGTAGAACTTTGCATCCGCAAAGTAGGACTCAGCCTCTGTGAAAGGGCTTTCATCGGCGACAACCTTTTCAACTACGCCGTTCTTTTCAAACATAAGGCATTGATGCCAAGACGAGGTGTAACACCCCAGATTTTCAAGACATTTAAAACTTATAAAATAAGGGTATTATCTCATTAAATCCCAAAACATAATACAAGTGTACGGGGTGCTATGCCACACCTGAGCTGGAGAACCCAGGTGCACAGGCTAACTAACTAATATCCTCAATAATGTAAATGCATAATATGGCACGCAGGCCGAGAAGGGAACTATCTACTTCTACGTTCCGAGTTCTAGCGCGCTCCAGTGACTTATTCTTCTGTGCCTGAAAGCCAAATATATCTGTTCAGCGAGAGATGCTGGTAACCCACTCCAACGCGTTGAAATACAATACATATAGAGATATATATAGATATACGAAAACCATTTTGAGCATGAAGATATATCCTACGAACTCTAGCTTTCAAAACCGGGAATGACTCGATAGGTAATGCCAGACACAATCAACAGTTATAACGAGCATATGCAGTTCACAACAGATAAGGCAGATAAGGCCAAGCATAAACGATAATCATAACCCAGCATGACAATCCCCAATATAATTCCCATAGTCACATTCCCCAAGGCACTCATAGTCACAATTCGTCCATATCACACACATAGCGCACATTGTTGGCGCCACGGGACCGATCGCATGCCCATACATGAGGGTCAGCGCATATAGCTCTGACACAGCCCCGCAGCACCATACCCCGTATCGCAACACGGGGAGGTCGATCACAACCGACCGATGAACCGCAGCTCATCATAATGTTTGATCGCAACCAAACAGTGGACCGCAGCCCAAGAGAGTGTCATCTGACCGCAGCCAGGATAAAGGACGAACCGCAGCTCGTATAGAAACGTTTGATCGCAACCAAACGGTGGACCGCAGCCCAAGAGAATGTCATCTGACCGCAGCCAGGAATACCAATCTGACCGCAGCCAGCTTCTGAACCGCAGCTCAGGATAACCAATCCGATCGCAACCGAATTGGGGTAGCACACACACATAACACATAGCAAGCACATGCAACCCACGTTACACATTGGGAAGGGGGATAAAGCGTATAACAAACCTATGCGTGATCCATCACATACTAAGAATAGTCCTAAGGGGTTCATACTTCCTTCACCTAGGTCAACGGGATACCAATTCATCTAGCATGCGATATAACAGACTCAAAAACCTACGAACGGTACCCGAAACATCAAACTAGACATAGGCACGACAAACGGGGTCCGTTGGGACACCACGGGGATCGGGGAAACATCAAACGGGGAAACCGGGAGCCCGAGGTAGTGTAATTTCCAGCGGGTAGCCTCCTTATTCCTTGGCTATGAAGGATCTTTCTTTAAGCTTTCTTGCTTTCTTGATTTCTTCTAAGGGAATTCTTGGAGCTCTCCTGGTGTGGTGGGGGCGTCTAGGCGCGTGGGGGTTCTAGGTGCTCCCTAAGTTCCCTATTTATAGATCCAAGGGTTTATTTAGAGTTTAATCCTATTGGGGTTAGGGGTTGGGTTTATATATTTGGGCCCATGGGCTATGGTGGTCTTTTTCCCTAATTAATCATTATAATTTATTCTTTCTCCTGGGTTATTAATTAATTAATTAATCAGTTGATTTTAGGATTCGTAACACGGGGTGTTACATGAGGGTACCACCCCATTTTCATGTATCCACGGCCTTCCAAGTAACAAGTTATAAGATGTCCTTGCATCTATGACATGGCAGAGGACACCTGAACTTAGGCTTCCAATTCTTAAGTCAAGTCTGATGATGCCAATTGCTCTTTGCCCTCCCTGGTTGAAGCCTTGTATCATTAGACGACTTTGGGCAAGCTCATCTGTAGATATACCAAGGTCCTTCACAGCTCGGAGGGATAGGATGTTGACAGCTGAGCCTTGATCAACCATAATTCTTTTGAGTTTTTGCCCACGGGTGTAGCCTTCAACAAATAATGGGCGATTGTGTGGCGTGCCTCCAAGTAACAAGTCTTCATCCTTGAAGGTAATTTCTGTGGAATAGGAAGTAGCCTTATGCATTAGCACTTCCTCGTCCTCGATATGTTTAGGAGATGAACATTCACCTCCATCTTCTGGCTTGTCATTTGTATTTAAGCAGGAGCTAGAAGTGCCTACCCCTTGAAGATCAAATCCTTTTGGCATATATTGAGCCAAAGGAACTGGTGCACGTGGCTGTTTGACATGGCCCTTCGTTTTTTATTTGCGGGCATGAGTATTTTTTGAGGTTTTCTCAAGCCAACTTTTCACTATGTGCTTTTGATGCTTCACAGGCTCAACTTTCTTCTTTCTATGAGTGACAATCACCCATTTTCCTTCGGATGTGTTATCGTTCCGCCGTGGTTCTGAACTTTGACCGACAACGTGCTTAACAATGAAGGGGAGTGGACGCTTCTGTTGTTTCCCATCTTCCTTTTCAGTGCACAGCGGAGCGAACCGTCCGGGTGTGATCGAGATTTGATTCGAGCTCGCGTTAGCATCAGCGAGCTCAATTTTTCCATCCCTGGCCAGTGCCATAACTTTGTCTTTGAAGATAAAACACTTCTCAATCGGATGACCAAGAAGACGGTGGTACTTGCAGTAATATGGGTCATCCACCCTTGTAGCTTCATCGGGACGTTTCATTTCAGGCAACTCAATGAGCCTAAGTTTGAGTAGTTCATCAAACATGGGAGATACATTGGAATCCATGAAAGGATAAGTCTTCTCCTGCCTTTCTTCAATTGTCGGCCTTCTACCACCCCTTGACGGGCCAGAAAATGATCTTGACCTAGGCCTTTCAGTTGCCTTAGTGAAGACTGTCATGGGAGTAGCCTTCACATTCATCACTTCTTTCTTTTCCTGCTTTGGAAAAGGTTTGTTCCACTTTTTAACTTCTTGTTTTCCATGTGCATTGGAGGAGCTAGGCAAGTTCAATATGTTGAGCCCCCCGCTGGCTTCGATGCTCAATTCCATGTCGTGAGCACGACTGGATAACTCCTCAAAGGACTTTGGCTTAATCCCTTGTAGGATATAGGAGAGTTCAAAGTGCATTCCTTGGATGCACATCTCAATTGCAGAACTTTGGGATATTCTTTCTTTGCAATTCAGGCATAGTTCCCTCCACCTTTCGATGTAGGTACCGGCGCGTTCACCCTTCCATTGGCGAGTAGTGGTGAGTTCCAAGAAGCTGACCGTTCTCCTTGTGCTATAGAAACGAGATAAGAACTCCCGTTCCATATCATGCCAGCTATCAATGCAGCCGGGCGCAAGGTCAGTGTACCAATCAAACGCAGTTCCCTTTAATGAACGGACAAACTACTTTACCAACAGATCGCCATAAGTCCCTGCATCATTGCATGTCTCCACAAAGTGGGCAATGTGCTGTCGGGGATTTCCCTTGCTATCGAATTGCTGGAACTTAGGAGGTTGATAGCCGTAGGGCATTTTCAACTCCTCAATTCTTTGTGTGTAGGGCTT